AAAAAAATGGGAGCTGTTTACCTGCCTATTTATGCCTCAGTTGTCAATTTCTTTAGCTCTGCTCTAAGACCAGCTGCCGGCTCAGTGGTTGAATTGTTCGTGTTCTTTGAGGATTGATGATTCCCCAGTCAACAGGATAATTGCATAACCTAACAAATTGCTGGGCTTTATGTTTTTCACTAGCTAATCTCCCTTATTTCTTTATGCAGACTAGACTCCATGCTATGGAAGTAAATCGAGCAGTCTCTACCTCACAGGAACCTAAGCTCAGAGATAAACTTGGACTTTTTTTTTTGAGGCAAAAGACTTTTAAGATGCATGTTTCAGCAGGCATTTCCCCATGGATCAACCCCATGAGAAAATGGGAACCAACAAGCATTTTACTTAAGGGTTCTGACAATAGGGTTTCTACTGATCACTCTTAGGTGCAACTTCGCAGGAAGAAGAGCACATCGCTCCTTTGCTAAAGCCTCCTGCTTTATTAGAACAGAAGGGTGGCTGTGTGTGTACGTGTGTCTGCATAAAATCAGACAGATCTCTCAGGTTGCAAGTATATGTCCTGCCAGCCAACAGCCAAGCAAATTCTGGAGTAAATTATATGATCAGCTTCTTCTCCAAAGAGAAAAACACATACAGAAGTGATGAAACAGGGTCAGGGAGAGGCCAGCCTGCCATTTCTTAGGAATGCTCTTGGGGCTTTCAAATCCTAAGGAGGCTTATCTGTAGTTTTTGTGTGTGTTTGTTTTAGCATGCCTCTTGTTGTTTTGATGGTTTTAAAAGCTAGATTTAACATTAGAATTGCTTTAGTGTTTGGTCAACTACGTTTGTGCTTTATGATTGAGTTCTGAATTTCTAAAACATAAAATATACGAATATGACATCTTGTGACTTCCTTAGAATCTTACTTTAGCGTAAAAGCCAACAACAAAGGCTCTGAACACTCGCTGGGGAAACTCCTCCTTTAAAATTAGATGAATTGTAATTCTTTGAAAGCACGAATCTTGCACTCTCTCCATAAGACCCATATGAAGAAGCCTGGCCTGGCCCTTAAGAGATAGAAACCTGGTTTGTTCCTGATTTTCCCATCTGCCAAAAGAAGTTGCGGAGGTGGCTCTTCTCTTCCTCGAGCTATTGTACTTAGGCTCAGGTAGAATTCATTCATTTGAACATGCAAAGTGACTTCTAAGCCCTTTGGTCTCTGGCTTTCAGATCACTGATCACTGATGTGGAACAGCTGTCAACACACTGGTCGCTTGACCACTTAGAGACCTGATTATTATTCATGATAGAAGTAGGTAAAGTTAGGAAACTGAATTCACTTCTTTTCCTTCAGAGGCAGGCAAAAATATGAAGTAATAAAAATACTTTTATCCCAAAGTTTATGTTTTATAATCTGTCACTCACATTTTAATCAATAGGAAAGCTGTCCTGAGTATAATAGCTAAACTTCTGAAAAAAGGGTGAGGAGATGGAAGGAAAGGATTATTAATAACAACAACTATTTATTGAGCACTTTAGTGTGTCAGATATTGTGCTAAAACCTTTTTGGGATTATCTTGCTGTATAAGATTTCATGTTTCAACAGGCATTTTCCCACAAATTTATAAGGTCAGTACTGTAATTATTCCCATTTGACAGATGATGAAACAGACGCTGAAAAACTGAGAGACATCGTGGTTTGCTCAAGGTTCCCTTGCTAGCAAGTTATAGAGCTGTACTGGTTTCTTTCTCTTTCTTTTTTCTTTCTTTCCTTCTCTCTTTTCTTTCTTTCCTTTCTCTACCTCTTTCTTTCTCTTTCTGTTTTTCCCCCAAATTGTTATTTAAATTCCAGTTAGTTAACGTCTAGTGTAATATTGGTTTCTCTTTCTTTCTGTAAGTAGAATCACCATACATCCGAGTTTGCCTAGGAAAGCCCAGCTAAAATCTTGTATCCCAATTATTAATGGTGTTCCCTTTCCATCTCAAAAATGGATTCAACAACAAATTATTTGGTCACTCTGTTTCAAGGTTTTTCAATATTGGTACTATTGACATTTGGGGCTGGAAAACTCTGTGCTGTAAGGGCCGTCTTGTGCATTATTGGGTGTTTAGCAGCATGCGTGGCCTCTGCCCAGTAGATGACAGTAGCACTTCCACTCAAGTAACAAAAACCAAAAATGTCTCCAGATGTTGCCAAACGTCCCCCTGAGAAGCAAAATTGCTCCCAGCTGAGAATAACTACTCATAAAATTTAACTACACAAGGAAAATATAATCTATTTGTTATGGAACACAGGCTGTGAACTGCTGAACCTACTTCATGTAGTGGCTACCATATACCCTGTATGCAATCAAAGTTGATTTCCTGGGGGCATTATTTGCCCCATTGTAGAGAGGAGCAAAGGCTAAACAAGTAATGAATAAGATGACTAGAGGGCTCCAAGGATAAAAACTGGTTTGTTGCAATTCTTACTAAAGAAGACGGAAACAGTGTACTGGGAAGTGACCCCAAAGCCTCCTGGCTGCCCATTCTAGTAATGTTGTGGATTCCGAGTCTTGATTCCATCGGTGTTTTGCCTTAGTGATGAACACAAAAGCCAAGGAGACAGCCAGAGAGCGATACCGTAAGAATCATACTGCAGCCTTCTTCAATAATAACAGCTAATGATAATTAGCGTTCTAATTTCTCCTACTCTTATACTGAGAAATGACCACCATTTCTTTCATACCACCATTTCCATTTATTAGCAATAACAGAATAAATACCAGTAGCACCAATTAAAAATGAATCCACATGGCGTGTTTTATCCTTACAGCTGTAATAACTAGTAACTAACATGGACTGGAAAGCACTTTGCAAATGTAAAAAGTGCTGTACAGATACATCATAATTATCATCATTAATAAATTAGCCCAATTCTCCTAGTATTCAAAAGGCACGTAAGGTCAGATACATGGGTTTCAGTGGGGCAAAATGATCACAACCTACAATGCAGCAATGGTTCACATGTGTTGGCAACAAGTTTTACCCCATGCAATCCTGCAGAGCTGAAGTTACACACCCTTCAAAATATGGGAGAATGAAGCTAAAAGCAGACAAAACAGGCTTTTTTTTTGAGATTTAATGTTTTTGTTTTAATAACAGACTCCTACCTCTTTTATGATAACGTTTAAAAGATAATGTAATTAAACTTCTAAATTGTACATTTTAACAAAATTAAAATTTCTTATTTAAGGTGACAGTAAATTTTATTCTTTGCTATGAGCTGATATTCCAGATGTCATTATAATTCCAAAGCATCCTGTGACTTCAGAGAGGTCAGATTGGTAAATTTTGTGCTTGCATACCCTCAGGGAATAACCACGGTATTCATTCCAGAATTGTTACTAGAAAAAAACAGCTCTCTCTATTCCCTTGCCAGCAGGAGTCTTGGCAAGAGACAGCTCCTGGCTGACCATAAATAAAATTCCTTGAATCACCAGTGTCTTGATTTAAGAAAGAAATTTTACTGTGTCTTTCATACACAAAAGCTGATTAACAATGGTTAAAAAAAACACTACTCCACTTTTTCACAGGTGTACAAAAGGAAATATAATGGAATTACATTCAACAATAAAGCTTAAAGTTCACTCTAGGTAATAGTTGCATTAACATTCACATACACAAGCACAGAGTAAGTATATTTCAGGAGTCTTATAATAGCATACAGCATACATATGGGAGATTGATTTCAGGTAACATCATAGGTGTCAGCAAGATTAGCAATTCAGAGTGTTCTAAAAAAGGAAAACTAAACCAAAGAGACGGTGTGGGCTGGCACACCAAGACAAATCACAGAATTCGAGGATTGAAAAGTCGGCTCACTGTGTGTATGAGAAAATAATTTTTCTTCAATTTTGGGGTCTTGATATAGTTGGCTAGAGAAGGTTGTGTATTCAAAGTGCACATACTTGTTTCTTAGAAAAGAGAGAGAGAAAGATCCTTTTATTTAGTAATTAATACATGCAAGAGGCAGCCCCAGAGTGACCTGAAAGAGTAAAGCTGTGAGTGGCAGGTGGCCAGTATAATACAGATGTTTCAGGCAATTCTCTTAAAGCACTTCTGTAGCAGCAATGATCATTTAAATGGCTGTAGACTGGATTCTCTTTTGAGGAGTTGAGGGGGACTCATCATATTTCTCTTTAAAGATTTATAGTCATAGAGTTTCTCTTTTTTAAATAAATCTATCAAACAACAAAGAGCATAAAGTGAGGTGTTGGGGTTTTCTTTTGCTTCTGCTTTTGCATATGTGTTGGAAAAGGATCTCGCCTTTTCATAGACATTGTGTGCAAAAGAATTTTTAATAAAGTGAGCACAAGGACGCACGCAAACACATCAGATCTGCCTCTGGTGCCCTGGTTGGCCCCCGTTCAACACTGAACTGTTGGCTTGTAGGTGGAATGCAGGTTTTAGGGATAAAGACACCACAGCCCACAGCCTTGTCAGCGGGGGTGGTTTTGTCTGGTTTTGTCTGCGAGAGGGTGGCCACTGCCTCTTGAGTTTTAAGATTTAGAAAGTCTGGTCCCTTTTATTTTCACGGTCCCCCTGGATTGGCAACTCCCACTGTTTCTTTGTCTTTGTTTCCCAGCCCTCCTTGCACCAACTAGTCTCATCTGGCCCATCCCAGCCGATGACGTCTGGCACTCACGCACCCCGGTGACCACACAAACCCAGTGGCCACAGACACCCAAGCTGCTCAATCTCAAAACCTTTGAGCCTGCCCTGCAAATGTCATCAAGACAGGATCCCCGGAGCACAGGGCAGAGAGTCCAACCTCTCACTGGCGGGGCTGGGAAGCCTCTCCTTTGCGGCGGAGGAGAAAGGAAACTTGGGTCTGCTTTTTAGGTTCTGAAAACAAGCCAGAGTGGAGAGAAAGAGTTAACACCAGACTTAGTAAAGCTTTTAAGACAAAACCTGTTAAATGTGATCTACACAGACACAGGGAACTTTCTGCAGATTTCTGAGGTCTATAAGAGAGGGCTCATGGAGATAGGAGAAAGGAGTGGGGAGTTGCTACATGGGAGAGATTTGCCATTATTACAAAAACTGGCTAAGTGGCTTGTTTCCATGGGATGACCTCACTGGTCACTGTTGTCAGTCGTGCTGTTCCCTTTCTCTTTTTTTTCCTGGGTCTTGTTACCCTTCTTCTTTTTCTTCTTTTTCTTGGTCTCCTCCTTTTTGCCGAAGGTTATGAAGTCACTTTTGTCAATTTGGCTGTTAGTAGGCTCCTGCCGGATGGAGATGATTGCAGGAGATCCTGGGATAATGAATTTGTCTGGCAACTCACCGGGACCAGATTGTTTGGGGTTGCCTGGTCCATATTTAAAGGTCCAGCTGTTGCTGTTGACACCAGCACCGACTGGAGGGGACACTTCTCCTGCCTCTGGTTCTGAAAGACAAAACATCACAAGTCGGTAGGAGTCATCAGACACCTTCCAGGCCGCACTAAGTGGGTAGAACACCGGGGAAGCTGCAAAGACAAGCCTGCTCCCCCAGTAAATCATGGGTTATTTCTTTGAGCCTGAGGAGGGCAAGATCAGTGTTTGGAAACAATCAGGAGGGCAGATTTTTTTCACCAGAGAGTCTGGAAGTCTAATTTTCTAGGGAAATATTTTTGGTTCTTTGTGAAGAATTTCCTAAAGAATATGGTTGTGATTATTTTTCCTGGGAATAGGATGGGAAATGTACTAGATTAAAGCAGAACAGGCAATAAGAACTAGGAATAAATTTAATCAAGGAAGTGAAAGACCTATACTCTAAAGTCTAAGATGTTTATGGAAAAAATTGAAGAAATGACACAAATAAATGGGAAGATATTCTATGTTCATGGGTTGCAAGAATTAATACTGTTATAGAGTCAATGCAATCCTGACCAAATTTCAATGGTATTTTTCACAGAAATAGAAAATCTTAAAATCTGTATAGAACCACAGAAGACCCTAAATAGCCAAAGCAATCTTGAGAAAGTAGAACAAAGCTGGAGATATCATGCTTTCTGATTTCAAGCTATATTACAAAGCTATAGTCATCAAACAATATAGTACTGGCATAAAAGCAGACATTTAGATCAATGAAACAGAATAGAGGACCCAGAGGTAAACCCATGCATATATGGTCAATTAATTTACAACAAAGAAGGCAAGAATATAGAGTGGGGAGGGAACATTTTCTTGAGTAAATGGTTTTGGGAAAACTGGACAGCTATGTGCAAAAGAATGAAACTGGAACCCTGTCTTACACCATACACAAAAATAAACTCAAAATGGATTAAAGACTTGAACATAAGACCTGAAAGCATAAAACTCCTAAAAGAAATCATAGGCAGTTAAGTTCCTTAACATCAGTCTTTTTGAATCCAGCACGAAAAGCAAAAGTGATAAAATCAAAAATAAACAAACTACACTGTGTCAAACTAAAAAGCTGCTGCCCAACAAACTAAACCATCAACAAAATGAAAAGGTAAACTACTGCATGGGAGGAAATACTTGTAAATCACATATCTGATGAGTGATTAATATCCAAAATACATAAAGAACTCATTCAATTCAACAGCAAAAGAACATACAATATGGTTTTAAAAATAGCTAGAAGATTTGAAGAGGCTTTTTTTGAATAATGACACACAACTGGCCAACAGGTACATGAAAAGTTGCCCAACATCACTAATCATCAGGGAGAGGCAAATCAAAACCACAGTGAGATATCATTTCCCACTTGTCAGAATAGCTATCATCAAAAAGACAAGAAATCACAAGTGTTGGCAAGGACGTGGAGAAAAGGGAACCTGTGTGCACTGTCAGAGGGAATGCACACTGGTGCAGCCACTATGGAAAACAGTATGGAGGTTCTTCAAAAAATTAAAAAGAGAAATACCATACAATCTAGTAATTGTACTTCTGGGTATTAATCCAAAGAAAATGAAAACACTAACTTGAAAAGATATGTTCAGTCCTATGTTCACTGTGGCATTATTTATAATAGCCAAGATAGGGAAACAACCTAGGTGTCAATAGATGGAAGAATGGATAAAGAAAATGTGGCATATATTGTAAAAATGAGTAAAAAAAACTTTATTTAATGGAGTCAGGATGGGCACCTGGCTGGCTCAGTCCATAAGCATAGGACTCTCTTTATCTCCAGGTGGTGAGTTTAGGCTCTTTGTTGCAGGTCGAGCTTAAAAAAAAGAAAAGGAGTCAGGAAGCCCTGAAGGGGGAGCTCTCTCACACATACCACTCCTGGCAGCCTGCACTGTACTGCAAGAAGGAAGATACTTTTCACACTGGACTTTTATCACCTGCTTTTAAGACAAAAAAGGACGATCTCTTTCTGCCCCAGCAACAACACAGTAACCACCACCTGAAGCCAAAAAGAAACCAGCACGATCTCAGATTCTTATTCTTTTCCAGAGAATTTTGATTGAAACAACCCTCCCCAATTTCCTCCTAAAACATAGTAAGAGGTGACTTTTCCTTTACCTCTTTGGGCTTGCCTGTGGTTTACCATAATTTGCTTGTCCAAATTGCATTCTTCTGCTATTCCCTAATAAACTCATTTTGCTGGTAAAATAACTGGCAATTTTATTTAGGTTTGGCAATATTATATAATGGAATATTATTTAGCCATAAAAAGAATGAAATCTTGCTGTTTGCAACAACATGGATGAAGTTTCAGGGCATTATTCTAAGCAAAATGAATCAGAAAGAGAAAGACAATAATGTACAATCTTACTTATATGTGGAATCTAAAAAACAATAGTAACAAAACAAAAACAAAAAGCCAAGCTCATAGATACAGAGAACAGATTAGTGGTAGCCAGAGGCAGGATGGGGACAGGTATGTGTGAATTGGGTAAAGGTGGTCAAAAGGTACAAACTTCCAGTTATAAATAAATAAGTCATTGGGATGTAACATACAGCATGGTGACGATTTTTTCTGGGGGTTTTTGTTAGTTTTTAAAAAAGCATCTCTTCTCTTTTTAAAAAAATTTTTTTTCTTTTCTTGTTTTCATTCTGTGCTGACAGCGCAGAGCCTGATGTGGGGCTCCAACTCACAAACCATGAGATGATGACCTGAGCCACCCAGGTGCCCCAACTGTTTCTTTTTTTAAGCTTGTTTGTTTGTTTTGAGGGAAATAGAGCATGCACTATTTATTTATTTATTTATTTATTTATTTATTTATTTATTTATAGAGAAATACAGCATGTGCAAGCAGGGGAGGGACAGAGAGAGAGGAAGAGAGAATCCTAA